TAATTTATGGCTTATGCATTCTTTTAAGGTCGATTTGCATGACCTCCGGCAAAGAGCTAAGGCAGCAAGAAATCCCAAGTCGAGCGTTGCCACAAAGCGGCCCAGATCCCCCCGCGCCGGGAGTAAGCAGAGCAACCCGATGATGGGCTGCCTTCTCCCTCCTCCTGCTGTAGCACAAATTAGGGCGTGATATCAATTTTAAAGTTTTCGGTATAACTTTATCCAAACCCCCTGCTTGCAGAGATAAGGCGCCGCCACAGGAACTCCAGATCCTCAGGATAGTGCCCCGTTGTGGCCAAAACCAACATTACCACCTACAGCTCCGATATCTTTGTATTATCGCAAGCTCCGGGGATAGCACTTATTCGTGGCGAACTTCAGAGCAGTTACCCACCTCGGACTTAGCGCAGAACTTAACAGCACTACTACATTGCCCGCGCCTCGCTCCCTTCTGTGCCTTTGGGGCAGCCGTGAGGAGAAACCCACGCCAACACTCCGCAGTAATGACAGCAGCTTTCTGCTCCCAAAGATTTATTTCGGATTTTATTTTTCCTCTCTCTCTCTCGCTCTCTTTCCCCCCCCCCTGCCCCCCCCAACTCGTGTTAGTTTCTTGCGTACAATATCTTCCTAGCACCATGTGTTCGCCTGCCGTGGGTGATCTTAAAATACAGTGCTGATCTGTCACTACATTTTAAAATAAACTCTACTCGCGCAGGATGAGAAAGTGTTGTGATTTCAAGGTACTGAGGTCCCTTAATGCCTCGGAAAGCTCAGGATCCAAACAGCCGCGGAAACTCACGCGGGGATGAGACTGTAACTACTTTTCCCTAAAAACCCTCGTGGTCTAAAAGTAAATACTCGTGCAGGGGGAGGGGTGGGGGGGGGGATAAGGGGGGCAGCACTGTTAAAAGCTAAACAACATCTATCTCCAGCCGCTCTGCTTCCCTCAATTGCAACCAACGACCCATTAAAGCCAGCGCAGGGGGGACCGGGTTCTCTCCTGCGAAGCGACACGAACCCGGCGAAACCCGCTCCCTCCCCGCCGCCCCGAGCCGCGCAGCACTACACACCACGGCAAACAACAGGTACACGACACAACAGGGCTCGCTTTCCTGGTTACCTCCTCGGGATCCAGCGTGCCACAAAGCAATGGGAGAGCCGCCTTTTTTTTTGCAACGCGCTTCGGTAATTTTCATTAAACAAAACAAAACAAACAAAAAAAAAGAGGTGAAGGGGGAGAGAGGAAGAGGAATAAATGGGTAATAATTCGGTAAAATAAAATAAAATGAGCTAAAGTCTGCTGGTGTTTCTCCAGGCCATGGATGTGCAGGATCCCGATCGTTAGAAGTTTGCGGATGGGTTGCCTGGAGATTTGGTTACAATCAGGTTCATTATTATTTTTTTTTTCCTCCTGAAACAAGTGAAGGCGATGGTTACTGCTGTCAATCTTGGCAATCAATGTGAGCGGCCATGTCGTAAGTATTCAAAGCATTTCCCGTCGTGCAACATCAGAAAGTGAGTGGCCAGGGCATTGATCTGAGGAAGGCAAAAGGAGGCAGGGCTCCCCCGCCCAGACAGCACAGGCAAGATGAGACAACAGAGAGAGAGAGAGAGAGAGGGAAGGAGCGAGAGAGAGAGAGACAGAGAGAGAGAGGGACGCTGAGAGCGAGCGAGCGAGCGGGGAAAGCAACAACTGCGGAGAAAGTGAGCACAAAACAGAAAGTGAAATCACCCCGGGCTGCCAGCCGCATCCCCGAGAAGCTATCAGCACTCACAGTGCTATTAGACAAATGAAACCCTAACCCTCTCTGCTCTAATGACCACTGATTGCCCGCAGTGGTGAGGAAAGGTACTAGGAAGTCACTGGGGGG